AAGGACAGGTAAGGATATGTGATTTTATTTTTTCAGTTTAGCACCCCTCCTCCTCAATATATGAAATTGCTAACATTTTCTTTGTTTTTTTAAATGACTGCTGCCTCACTGTTTTATCTTAACTGAAGAGCAGGAAATGGAAGGCAGCTCTGGATCCCCATTTCACAGCCCAGTCACAAGACTGAGAGTAGAGACCAGAGTGGGAGTCACAGATCTGCACAACTGCAGACAGCACATCTTTCTCTGAAACCAGTATACAAAAAAGATTTTAAATGAAAAACAAACAATGATTTTCTGTTTTTAAGTGCAAATCTTACTGGAAAATAGGAGTAATCTGCTGTAATACTGTGAAAGGGGGGCAGTTTATCCTAAAGGCAAAGGTTTAGAAAAGTATCTTAATCCTAGATACATCACTTGAGTTAATAATGTGCCCCCCCCCCAAATGACATGAATGAGCTCTATGAAAAGAACACAGGAAAGATCTGAGCTTCATTGAATGTAAGCACACCTACTACTTTTCATGATGTGAGGTAACAAAATATTGTTGACTCAGCTATAAGTATGCTAAAACTTTTTAGCCAAGTGAAATAGGGGTAAATCTGAGATGCAGGGGAAATATGAGACCCGAGTTATCATTGGAATGTTTGTTACAAAGAAGCAGAAAGCCAAATCTAGTTTTATTAGAGAAAAAAGAAGGAAAAAAAAAACCACCCAGCATCTCGCTACTTTAAAAGGCCCAAGGATTCCTAGTAGGAGTCTGATGCTTGTCTGATGTCAAGGAGTGAACCCTGGTTTTAAGTTTCACCTAGAATTTGTAATCTGTGATCGCAGCATCTATAACTATGAGCACTGATACTGGATGTCTCCTACATTTCACCAAATACAACTTCATTGTGTTTTACTCAAAAAACCTCCCTGGTAGCAGAGAACAAACTGAACCTCAGTAATTTGAATGCATTATCTCCACAGCTGCAGGTATGAAGAAACAGTGGCAAGAGGAGCAATTGAAGAGGACCTGCATCCTGGGACACAGGTGGGACAAGGCTGTCACTGTGCAGTGTGCTTCCAATCTACAAAAGGTCACTGGGATTTATGCTGCAAGGATTTTCTCCCTAGCAAGCACAAGCACGCGCCTCTTCTGGAAGAAGCAGAAAAATGCCTGGTAGATATGGTAAACCCCTTGGCACCATGAAGACTACTGGACTACATACATACTGTAGTGGCTGCCCGCGAGGCCGTCGTGGATATAGAAACAAAACAAAACTGGTCTCCTTCTTTGCATGAAATACCAGTTATCTTTGTTATCCTCCTAAAAATACAACTATTTTCTTTTAATTTAAACGCCACAAAAGTTGAAAAAATATCAAAAGCCAAGGCTTAGATTCAGTTTTCCTAGCATGCTCCAGTTTGAATCCAGACTTCAGTTATTTTCACAGGTATTTTAATTTAATGTCAGCTTTCTTTATTTTTTTATTTTACTTCACATGTTAAATTTCTGAATCTACATTTCTAAGCTTGCTATACTGGACTTCTAAGAAGTCTACTGCTTTGTTGTACTGGCCAAGGTGAAATTAATACAGCAGAAAACTGCCCAAAAAGATTTCAGTTCTCAAAGCTGAGATTCCCATATTTGCATGATGTTGTAATGAGAGATGATAGCTCTTCGCTTGATGTGGGCTTAGGAACATCCATTAAGCTTTGAATTCAAATGATATATTTTAAACCCTGATGTAAATGGGTGGCTTTCATACAACTTGATTTTCAAATTAGCTGTGAGTTTGCGAAGTTAGTAAATACTCTACAGTGAACAGAATTGATTTAATGTACACCAAATATAAACAAACCCAGGGACTTTACAGAAAGGCCAGTGTTGTATCGCAAGTTAGATGGGTTTCCCTAGAGCAACTGGTGCAAGCAAATGGTGTAGATGTGTTACAGGTTGTGAAATATTTTTCTTAAAATATTATCTCTTTTCCCTTCTTCAGTTCCTTGTATGTTCATTTACCTTTTTTTCTCACTCTTTTTTACTCTCTTCTCCTTTTTAAAATTCTGATTAGTTTTTAAAATTTTCTTTTCTTAAATTTTGATTTTTTTAATTTTTATTTTCATTTTAAAATTTTTATTTAATTTTGATTTTTAGTTTTCCTAAATGAAATATAAGCCAAATGACACTGCAATTCCAATTGAACTTTCCAGCCATATTTTTTCCAGCAAACTTCTAATGAAGCAGAAATATCCATTCATTCACTTGATGATAATCTTTAAAGCACGCTGAAATCAATTTGCACTGGCTTAGAGTCCGGTTGAGTTCAATCACACGACTTTAATTACGCTGCTTAAGAGCAAAGCCAGTAAAACAGTCATTTAGTTTTGTATTTCATGCCATAAATCCTGTTATCTGAAGCAAAGACCTGTGAGCAGGGCATCCGGCAGAAATAGTTTCTCATCAGCACGGCATGTTTCGCTGCTGCCATCTTCTGGCAAAAGGGACAGTTCTCCTGCAGTTCTGATTGCTTTTGAAAGATTTAATAATTTTTTCTCTTTAAGAGTATCAGTACAGGGTTTTGTTCATTTTGCGGTTAGATAATTTATCTGTAAGTTTTGCAATGTGGTGTCTCTTAGCCAGTTCAATTCATTCACACAAAAAGATTTTAGAGGATATTGCAAATCTAAAAATTAGTATTTAAAAACAAACATCCTTTCTATTACTAAACATTGTATTACTACATAACATCTTACATATTTTATCAAATGTAGCTGTTTAATAAATGCTTTTGCCAATATTTGTGCTGCTTATAGTTTACTTTTAGACAGCAAATAAATTATTCAAGTCTAGACCTGATTCTGTCCTTAAGTTCATATTCACTACACCTTCTCATTTTAATATTTTAAACAATATAAAAACGTTTACATTATTTTTAAGCTCCTATATTTGTGGTCAAGTATTATGGTGATGTTCTCTCAACCATCCTTCACCCCTACATAACCGGTATTTGAAAGCAAGACAAAAATGCCTATTTTTCCTGAACTTTTTTGTTACAGCACTTAAATCCATGGAGTCTGAGGTGCTCTGATGTCCATTTAAGCACACTTTAGCTGACTGAAACACTCTAAAGTCCCAGATCATTGCTGCAGTTGAAGAGGACGTGGCTGTCACAGAAGGAAGTGGTGTTCAGTGCTCTGCAGGCAGCAGAGGTCCCAGCTAAGCTGTAGCCCTGACCCCTGATTTAGACTCTTTAAAGTAAGGATGCTATGCCAGGATTTCTTGAAAACATGAAATCTTGTAATAACCACCGTCCTTAAGTTAGGCTATTTATCGAACATATATAAAATTATACATGTTCCTTTTCTGGGTTAAATGAAGGTGGCCCATCCACCTAAGCAATGGCCGGTAATTAGATGCCACTGATGGAAAACATTTATGCAACGCATCATGATTGGAGCCCCGTATATCCCTACATACTATACCCTAGATCTATTGGGTCAGCTCTCAACACAAGCTCCCGCCGCCATAGGCCCCCCCTCTC